CTCGCTCTTTTTATGCGCTTTGGGATACCAGACCTCGGTCTTGATAAACAGGAATTTAGTGATAATAGCTTGGTTGCAAAAAAATTCAAAAAGAGAGTGAGAGAACGCGAACATCAGGGTTCGAACCGGCGTTTGGGCATCAGCGCTTTGCCGCTGTGCCACGGACATTGATGTTACGTAAGATTACGTCGGCACTAATTTTCTCATCGGCTTTGCATTTTCATTCGAACTTTCACCATCATGTCGGCTTCTACATCAAAAACAAAAAGCAAAGCTAAATCACGGTCAGCTGTTGGAGCCCCTTCCCAGCACACCCAGTCTAGCCGCAAGGGCAAACGAGCATGGCGCAAAAACGTTAATATTGAAGATGTTGAAGAGGCCATGGAAGGAATGAGGGAGGAAGAAAGGGTGACAGGGTAGGTGTCGTATCTATCCCAGAAAATTTTCCCAATTCCCATGATGTTTTTTGTGCAGTAAACCCCTACAAAAAACGAATGACAGCAACCTTTTCTTCGTCGATGTCACTGGCGATGACGAAAGTGAGTGTCGTCAAGTCCTTCTGTAAATTTCTCCTTGTTTACGAATACATGTATAGTCCGAAAATCCATACCAAAGTCACTCACGTCGCAAACCACGGCAGCGAAGATTCTTGCTCAGCGATCGGCCGTACCAGCTGTGTTTTCACGAACGACGTCTTCTGGAAAGAGAAAGGCGGCGGTGACTCGGGAGGAGAAGGAGCGGATGTTGCGTATTGCGAAGCGTCCAAGAAAGGGTCCTTTCAATAGCATCGTCGACCCTACAGAATTTGGCGCGGGGAGTGCTATGATTGGTGTAACAGAGGCGGTGAAAAACAGTGGACAATTCGATCCTTGGGCTGCGGACGAGGAGCAGGCGCCTGAGGTGCCAGAGGGAACAGAGCGTCTCCAGAAGATGCCTGTGAAGGTTTGTTCATCTGCATTGTGGTGCCATCCTAATCTAATATTTCACGCCAGGCCCCAACGCATATACAGCCCCGAAAAATCATTGAGGTCCCGGCAGTGGTCGAGCCTCACCTTGGAACATCATACAATCCTCCAGCCGATGCCCATCGTGAGCTCCTTCTCAAAGCTCATGATATTGAGGAGAAGAGGATCTCAGATGCTGAAAAGCTGGCGGAGGTGAAAACCCGGATGGAGAAAGCAAGAGTGGATGCGGACGACGGTAGTAGTGGCGTGCCCGGAATGAAGGTCGACATCGCCACTGTGGTCGAAGAGGAACAGGAGCCGGTAGAGATCTTTAGTAAACCGGCACCGGAGAGGAAGACGAAACAACAGCGGAGAAAAGCTGCCAAGGTACTGGCCGAGGTTCGTCGCTTGCGTATCGTGATCCCTCTTCGTCATACTGATGCGACCTTTCAGAAACGTGCACTAGCACACAGAGCTGCTAATAAACGCATGCTGTCTACGATTGACAAGGTCAAGGCTTTACACAAGGAGGTGAAGATGAACAGCGCCAAGTACGATGCAGAACGTCAACAGCGTCGGCTTTTGGCTGAAGCCAAGTTAAAGAAAGGACTGTCGGGGCAAAAACTGGGAAGGCATAAGGTGTCGGAGGGTGAAGTAGACGTGCAACTGGGAGAAGACCTCAGCGAGAGTTTAAGGGCGCTCAAGGTGTGCATATTCCATCTCTGTACCTCCGTGCTCTGATTTTGTTTGCAGCCTGAAGGCAACCTGTTCAGAGATAGGTTCCTCAGTCTACAACACCGAGGACGAATTGAACCTCGCGCGCTCGTACTGTATGTAGTCTGTGATTTTTTTTTCTGATACGGCCCTGACTTTGTTCATTTCTAGACCTAAGAAACAGAGAACACGGACGGTCGAGTACGAGAAACATGCGTGGAAGAACTTCGATAGGCAGCAATGAGAGCTGTATGCTACGTTGTCTTGTGCCACACTTGAGTAGTACTGATTTAGGTCTGTAATATAGGTTAGTGGATAGAGTCGCCGATAAAATAAAGACACGACGCGCTCCAACATGCTTGACGCATGTGAAGACTCGTAAATTTTGCCTCCCTAGAAACCCACATGATTTGGGGTTGAAGCAACTTAAAGTGCCGGTCAATCGTTGTTCGTGCCACTCTATAGAAACCTACATTGTCCGAAAACAACACAGAGGCCCATCATTGGCCCACGGTGCCCCAGCCACCCTGCCCTTTTCGACACTGTGCCAAACTTGACCAAAGGACGTTGATTTACTCTTTACCTCCCCCCAACGTCGACGTGCGAGCTACTAAGCATCCTCCACTTGTATAGGCAGTCCACCTACGCCAATCGACGTTCCTTGTCATTTTCGGTCCATATTCTTTACACACTCCCTTCTCTCCATTTCTTCGCTCGTTTGCAGCATCCTCTATTACCCAACAACCAGAGTCAACGACGCCATCGGTGAAGTTCCTGTCGACGCGTTTGTTCGAGGAGATCCATTTGGGTCTCGGTTCCTCTCCTCAGCCGTTTTCTGTCTGCTACTCCCCCCCTTGACCTCTTCGTAAAACGAAGACGCCTCCCCCGTCCTCGCCGCCTCCCGTGGCAGTCAACCGACAAGAGACACGTTTTGACATTCCTGCAACATGGCGTCGAACCAGTCGTTTCCTCTATCTCCACCCTCGCTGGTTGAAGTGGCAGAGATATCCAGCACCGACGACGCGTCAGAACAGATCGACAACCCTATGGAATACACCAGTCATACCATCGCCATCTTCTGTCGCCAATCCCGGAGGGCGGTAGCATCATCGACGACGAATCATGCTATCCGCTTGATGAGGAAGCATCGTTCGACAGTGATTTACCGTGTTCGCCGCCTAATATTGATGGAAACACGGCTTGTCCTTTGCCCAAAGAGAGACCGCCTGTTCCTCCGCGAACAGACATCATCAGCTGCCTGTGGCCTCTCACTCCCTTAACGGGGGCTACCACGACTGTACCTCTTGGATATCTCCAAAGTTGTGGGCGAGTTTTACCGCCTCCAGTAGACAGTCAACCCTCTGATGGAGGACTTCTGTCACCGTCACTCTCGTCCAAGGTATGCATTCTCTTCTCTGTCTGCCACTCAAATATACTGAAGATTTTGGCAGGGTATCATAGACTTCCCGTACGACTTTCCCGTTGATAGCGCCCCTCAATCTGCGCCGCCTCTGGGCAGGAGCGATTCAGAATCAAGCCGCAATAGCTCTAGTACCGACGAAGTACATTCTGATAGCAAACTGTCGACTGGAGGCTGGAAGCGCTTGTTTCGCAGTCGAAAATCGTCCAAGGTCTCGGTGCCTCCACCCAGTCTTCTGGAATCCTCGCCTCCAGTCGTATCAGAGTTTGACGCCGTTGAGTCCGCAGAGTCATCGACTAGTGACGAAAAGCAATCATCGTTAGGCCGTAGTGTTTTCAAGAAGTTGCCCAAAAAGTTCAGTAATCTGGATTCGCCATCAAAGAGCGAGGGTGAGCCCCCATTAACAAGCGTCACTAAGGTGTCCCGGAAATTTCCTGGATTCCTGAAGCTTAGCACTGTAGTCTGGCCCACAGACTCGGCATCTGAGCATGGGTCGCAGCCTTCGCTAATCCCCCGCATGGCAGATGGTTCTTTTCCGCCCACTCCGCCGTTGAGTGCTCATGACTTGGGCAAAGTCAACGCGTGGTATGCGCCAGTACCAATACTACCACTGACACCTAGGCCACCGCCGACGCCTAAACTGCTCGTAACACCTCAACTTTCAACAAGCCCTGAAAGCCCTTTAACTCCCGATGTTCCCCCCGTTCCCAGCATCGCGCTTTCCCCCAAAACGATATCAAGCCACAAGTCGACCCCTTGTCTCCGAACAGCTCAGAATCTCGACACCGAATCGACCTCTGGTTTTCAATCTATACGCTCCTCCAAGTCCGCTTACTCGTCCGAGTCTTCCAGAGCTATCCCCCCTCCCAAGCCTGTTCCCGCCCGCGAACTTCCTCCTACCCCAGTGCCTGCTATAGTCATCTCCGAGACGTCTAAAGAGGATAAGAGAAACACCATATATTTTGTCATCGGACCAGAATGGGACCAAAACCTGAACGACGATGTGCCCTTCCAATTCGTTCCCAAAGAGGCTATCCCTACAAGCCAGTCGAGGACTTGCATGGATGTTTTCAGTCACCGCATGTCGTTGCGGCCACGGTCCGTTTCCAATCCGGAAGTGCTGGCTGCTTCAGTGGCGACGAGTCTGGCGTCTGCCCTTGAAGGAGCTGGGTATTGAGTGCAAAATGATTTGTTCTAGGAATTTTCTTGTACCACTTGTAATCGATGTATTTTGATAGAATCATGTTGTATCAGGTCGCCTATAGCTATCGGAGATCGCAGGATAGCGATTCCAGTAATACATTGTATGTGTTAAACTACTCTTATTGTAATCCCTTTTCGAGCGATCCGGCTCTCAAGGTCGGCAAATAGTCATCACGGCGACTGAGGAATCTACCGTCCGGCTAGCTAAGAAAATCATCTCTAGATTGGCTTAATTTCTTCAGAAGAGCAACAGATGCCGGTTTCTTGTATGTTCGCTCATTCCCTTGTATTTTGATATTTCTTGAATTGGCTTTACGGTTTCAAGTGCTGAAGCGGCTTTTTAGTGGCTTTCTCCGAAAGTAGCCCGTCTATCGATGGTGGGCTATAAGTACTCGGCTGAGATAGATAGTCTTTGACCGTACAACCTGGTGCTCTCTCAACGGCAGGACCCATGGAATTACAGACCTTTCGTGGGTGGACTTGGGCAGGCAGGAGGTAGGGAACTTTTATTGATGGACTTACGAGCTGGTCGTATATAAGTTGTTACGATCGGACCTCTTTGGAATGTCTCACCTGTGCAGCTTCGAATCCAAATCAAGCAACTCGACTGATCGACGCGACGTTTCGATCATTCTCCTCCATCCCCACTTCCAAAGTCCGTATTTCGCTCATTTCTGAGGCTCTCACAATGAATTTGGTATCGTTAGAAAGTTCCCGACGGCGAGATGGCCGAGCGGTCTAAGGCGCCAGACTAAGGTGATTGCGTAATCGTCCGCGTGACCAACTCAGCTTCTGAGTTAAGTAATATCTGGTCTTTCGGGGCGTGGGTTCGAATCCCACTCTCGTCAATGTTTTTCACTGGTAATTAGTGTTGCCGTGGCGCGGCTAAATATGGCGCGCGGGCCGAGCCGAGCCACAATAAGCCTAGCCGAGCCGTAAATTTGGCTAACGGCTGAAGAGAGCTTGAAGCCGAGTTTAAGCCGGCGCACGTGGCTTACGCTCGGCTTCGCTACGGCTGAATACCAAATTAGGAGAGCAGGCGCGTCATCTCCTTTCCTCGTCGTTGACCCTCCATTTTCATCCGTACAACCCGAAATCCCTTTCGTTACTCTATAGCCTCACAATATATATGTTTTCAGCCTATTCTCTGCATGTGTGACTCTTCCATTCAGCTTGACTGCTGCCACAGCTGCCTGTTAAACCAACTCCAAGGCCTTGAGGATGATAACAAGTAAAATGGGCATGGATTTTGCAGTGACGGTGCACAACCCATCTACTGTACACCCTCGTTGACTTAACTTGCATTGACCTCCCCTTTCCTTCCCAACCATCATTTCTCAGGACATATACCATTGAGCTTTACAAAGGTTATCAGCCCTTGCACATGTGGCTGCTATTCTTGGCATAGATATGATCAACGAGGCAGATAATTTACACCATCAAAGAGTGCCTTCAGAAAGAGTTTTTTCTAGTGCGAAAGAGACAGATGCCTTATGACGAAATCGACTAAGCCCGGAAGCAATAGAAGCACTTCAGATGTTGGAAGTTTTCCATTCGAAATGGGTGGGGACACATGACATGGATGAGGAAACACAGCTACAGGGACTGGAAGAGCTAATCGGCCATCAGGCATCTGTTCCAGAGGATATACATGCATTTATTAAGTAGCTAGCAGGCGAACTCGTCTTTTTGTAATCAATTTCCTTTTATGATGACGCGCCGTGGCCTGCGCCTTTAGCCGGCTGAGCCGAGCCGTAGCCGCATCCAAATTTATGGCTAGGCTCGGCTCGGCTAATAAAATTTCCAAAGCCGTCATTGGCCGCGCCGCGCTGGGTTTCGCCGCGCCACGGCAACACTACTGGTAATCCTGTCTAATTGGATTCGAGGTGCTCGCTAAGTCGCTCGAGATACCGATAACCGCCCAACAGGGCAAATGATATTACAACCCATGTGCGCTTTCGTGTTTGAGCGCTGGGTGGGATAATGTACACTATTATACAAGGGAGGGTAGACTAAAAACACGAATCCTTGCTTTTTTAGATCTGGCGAGATGGTGAGGGTGTTAGTACAACATCAACAACTGAGGAACAAGGCCATACCTGACGAGATGGTGAGGGTGCTAAGGAAGCTCGTCATCCCGCCAGATAGTTCATATGAGGCAACATGCAACTGAGACACATTCAGACCACCGAGGCTGAGTAAGTCGCTGTCACTCACATGACAAAACCGGGGCCGTCTCAGCGGAGAGGCCAGTACGCGCTGAGAAGCGGATACGCGCCATGAGAGGCGGAAGACGACGTCTGCGTGGCAGACGTCAGGCATGAACAACGAAGTTTCGAGAACTGCTTACCAATTAGACTTGCGTAAACACGTTTAAACCCGATTTTCTTACAAGTTACAACTCGTAACAACTGATCAGGATTCAGGACTTAGGGGTGTTTTGCTACGATACTTTACCGTTACTGGACGCGGGTTCGAATCTCACTGTCATCATGATTTTTTTGCTCGTCGCTGCCAGCTGTTGTCATCTATTTATAAGCATCAGGCAGCAGGTTTTTGAGCTGTGGATCAATAGATATTAAGGTGCGAGTTATAGGAAGGCTAGTCTGGCAGGCTTCTCGCGATCTACTGCGCAAGCCCCTTCATCTGCAAATGAGTAGGTAATCTGTTGACCGAAATCATTGGAAGGGTTCTGAACTCGTAAGGACCGTAAGTTCTTCCTCGATTTTCTATGGGAGGTATCTCCGACTTTCATTTCGCTGTCCTCATGTTGCAAAAGATTGCACCTTTCTGATACCAGTGTAGTAGAAAGCATTGACCCCGCAAAGCCCACCCCACCAGGATTCTCAGCCAGTATCCGTACTTCACTTTGTTCGATCATATCATGTTACGTCGAATTGTCTCGATATACAGCCGCCAAGGCACAGGAATGTTCGACGGACAAGATAAATACACACATTGCGGATGCCATCTGAGAGAGCGTATAGCCTGAAGTATCCAAGTAGTACCCTCAGTTATAGATTCCAGTCGCATTGAAATCAAAATGCAAAGCAGGACTCAGAATTTAGAAATTATCGTACTCCATAGGGTCCTCCGAGTCCTCCGCTACTCTGGAGTCGCAGTAAAGACGGATGAAGTATAATAATCAAGAAACTTCGGTTTGAAAGCAAGAACTAGAGGTCTTTGATGGTAAGGCGGTACTTAATGTTGTGGTCAAAGAGCAAGACGGCGGCCCGGGATACCGGGGTCCGGCGTCTAACACTCCTTTACTTCCGTCCATCACCATGGCGCAGAAACTCGTTCAATTAATATACATCCATGGCTTTAGAGGTGCTTAATCTTCGTCTGGACATTAACAAACCTAACGAATATGCATTACAGGCGATGATACCACTTTCCAGGTCCGTCCATCCTGCCTTGGAAGCCGTAGTGTCGTTCAGCATGCTGTGTAGTCATTCCCCATTGACCTGCAGCAATACCTCGCAGCTCGAATACCTCCAGAACTTAATATCTGCATTAAAACAAGTCTATATCCCACGTACAAGAGCGTCAAGCCCATTTCGCATGCTACGAAAAACTTTCTCGAGTGGTAAGCGCCTACTGCGCCTCCGACTGCTATTAAGTGCTGACTGTTTGTGTTACTCAGGTTAACAACGCAACCACCGGGACCTGTGATTCTCCTGGGACACTCTATGGGTGGCCTCTTAGCAGCTGAAGCCGCGACACACATCTCTAACAATCCCAACGGATACAGGCCGCATCGCATCGTCGCAATGATAGCATTCGATACACCCTACCTAGGGATGCACCCGCATGTCGTCATAACCGGAATCGCCTCCCTTTTCGCTGATGATGGCAAGGACAAGAAAACGGAAAGCGAAATGAACGAGCATCCCGACGTTCAAATCGTTGATAGCGAAGTTACCGACGGATGGGAGACTTTCCGCAAGAACATACCTGGTATGTCGCTGAGTCTATATGTTACTCCCTTCCCTCATACGTTAGACGGATAGGCCGGACATCATCTTCCTCCTTGTCGCTCTTCTCCGCCCACTCATCTTCGTCCTCGCCTTCCCGTTCGCCCTCGCCCTCCCTTATTGACCACACGAGGAATTTCTTTAACTCGCACGCCGACGACCCCCTGGTGCGTTGGGCCCGTAAACACTCAGATGAACCCTTCGCCGCCAGTAAGCGCTGGCTCGTTGAGCACTTTCAATTCGGCTCATGCATGTTCGATCCCCCGGAGCTGAAAGCTCGATACACGGCGCTCGTCAAATGGAATAGTGGGCTATGGGTGAACTATTATACACAGACAGTGCCGCGTGTACAGGAGGATGGTCACGTAGAGGAGGCCGATAACGATGTGGCCCTCCTTCAAACAGGCATGGCGGAGACTCCGTCGACCACTTCACCTAGTACGTCTGTACCCGAGTTGGGTCCCCGAACAGCCTCAGAGACAAAGGCGGCGAAGAAAGATGACGAGAAACGAAAGAAGAAACTGAAAAAGCAGAGAGAGAAAGAGGCGAAGAAGGGCAAGGTCGCACGGCATTTCGTCGTTCTACCGACAGGCCTGGGACAGATCCTTGGCGGTGGGGAAAAGTGGGAGAACGTACTGATCGAGGGTGTCAAGGACGAGGTGGGAGCGCATTGCGGGCTGTTTATTCGCGGGCAGAATTTGGATTATGATGGACTTGTGGATCGAGTGAGTAGAAAGATTGTGGGGTGGTGTTATACGTTGTAGCGTTAGTCATTTTGTATTCGTTTGTAGAAACGGGTGTATGATGATTCGGAATGGTCGATAGCATTGATAATATATCATCTAATTTACATGGTAACTCGGCCGTATCATAGTGATGTAGGCTTGAATAAATAAGTTGAGTCAGACTTTGACCGAAGCTCATAGATGTTATCACTGGTAGCATAACCTGCTAAGCCAATGGAGACCCGGAAAACGCGTTGAAGGAGATGCCAATGATTAATGCGGTGCTTCTCTGGAGGCTGTTATATATCTTCCTTTGTTGAAAGTCCAGTGACCCTGAGGTTTCTTGCGAAACCCCATTCAGGGCTAACGTCTGAGGCCTGAGGTCTCGCCTCTTGACTCTCAAGCGAGTCAGTCAAGCTTCGTTAGTCATTACTCGTTCGATAGGGTTGCGCACGAAACCTTAGGCTTTGATACACTTGGGTTTATTCCCGGTAAGTTACCGGTTAGTTACTGGTAACTTACTTCCCCTCGCTGGAGGGGTTTTCAGCGAGGTAACTTACCTGTCATGTGATGACATATGAGCAGCAATATCACCACCATACTCAATCCTATTGAATTGATATTTTACTTACAACCTCAAACAAAGCACCGTAGTGATTTTCAATGAATTATACTTCAGGAGAAAGAAAAATGTGTAGAATAACACGAAGGTGAAGATGTTCGAAAAAAATTGCAAATGCCGCGCGTCAGTCATGTGAAGCTACACGTGATAGCGTAAGTTTTTTTTTTTTTTGACTCTATATTTTGGGCCCGATACTGGTACGGGGGAAGTAAATTAAATAATGAAAAAATTAACTAAATAAATAACCCTATTAGGAAGCAAGAGCTCGAGGCATGGCCGTACTTTCATCCTTCCATCGATTCTGGGCCATTGTAGCGCAGATTTTCTATTACTATTATGTGACGGAAGCATGATGCAAGCTTTCTAGTAAGTCAGGTTTTTTTCTCTGCGCTTCGCGCAGCCAAAATAGTGCAGATCGTCTGATAGCCATTGTAACCGATTGTCATTCATGTAAGGCTCAAATAGTGTCTGACGCAATACACTGGGCACAATCCTGTCTTTTCACAAGCAACCTACCAAGCGGAATGACCATAAAACAAATGTCTGCAATAAATAAGCACGTTTTCCTTTGTGCTGAACAATTTACTGAGCAATGGAAGCCTTCACGGGAGGCTTCATATAGCAAATATATCATAAAATAAGAATATTGCTCTGCTCGTGCTCCTGGGAGCTTGATATGGTCTCCTGATTTTTCTGTTAGCAGCAATGCAAAGGCCAGAAGCAACAGAACTGTGACTAAAAATGTTTGTATTGATGCCTGAGTCTCCTGCATGGATCGAATAGCTTGAGAACAAAGCACAACAGCTCCTGGTATCTAAATCTACGAGAATATACACTTTAGGAAGCGTAGAGAAGTGACAGAAATGCACAAAGCCAATGCGAAGACAAGGGAGACATTAATTACGCCGTGGGAAAGAAGTCCATATTTGGGCAGATTTCAAACTCAGAATCAGTATCAGTATCCAGTCCCCTACAAGTAACGAGCCATATTTGAAACCGCAACCCTTAATCTATGTACAGAGACGCGGCGGCGCTTGCTCGTGGCCAGCCCCAGTAGCTAATGTGGGTGTACGTAGGGATAATCGGTGCTTTAATAGTACAGGTTTCTAATATCTTTGTGCGTTGAGTCCTGGTGCCTAGGGGGGTCGACGCCACCATAACTTGGGCTACGGGGCACGGTGATAGCGTAAGTACGGTAAGTTAAAGTTACCGTATCAAAACACCCCCCTTGGGAGGGGTCGGTAAAAAACGGTATGTTACCCCCCTTGGAGGTTTCGTGCGCAACCCTATCGTTCGACATTCGGATTCGAACTTCGACAGTCTAAAAAGTCTCCGAATCCACAGTAAATGGACACTGTGGAATTGAACCCACGACCTCACGCAGACAATCTAGTATGCAAAGCGTGCGCGCTACCAACTGTGCCAAGAGCCCTGTTACTACGGTACTTAGCTATCACAGGCGGTCTGGACCACCTGTAAACTTTGCAAAGCTCTTTGTAGCGCTTGTACAATGAATCGATAATTGCTTCTACTCTTACAGAAAAATAACAAATTGACAAAGAGCACACCCCACTCATTCAACCTGAATATAATCCCCCATGGAACTCTGATGCGACGACGATGCTCCCTTGGGAGGCTTGATGACTAGGTCCAGCTGCTGCCTGTAAGGACGTGTTAGTCTCGGGTCTAAAGGCAGTGAGGAGAAAGATAACGATACTCACAGCCGCATCCTCAGTAAGAGTTTTCTATTTGCCGAATGCATGTCATTTCCAGCCTTGATGGCGCGCGCGAACAAATCCGCTCTATGGTCAACCTGTTTGACCTGTAGAATCTTCTCGGGACGTTAGTATTGAAAAAGGCAGGTTAGCTTGGAGATATACCTTATTCTGACTATCCACCCTCCCTTGGATATCCCCTGATTGAATAAGAGTCACCACCTGGCTTTCAGTCTCGTCCACGCTCCACCCGAAAGCTTGACTCATCCTGTCGAGACGAATAGACGAGAATGGCTGGAAGTATAGCACTACGGCACGGTTCTTGATCGCGTTCATCAGAGCTCGCACATGCGAGGTGAGGTGGATGTCGATATAGTGGCGGGTCTGAAACATCAATCAGCAGGAGAGTGTAATGCAAGGGGAAAAGATCGTACAGAGTACCGCGATAGGAGATCAAGTACAGTCTGGAATTTGCTGGCCATGTACGCCTCGATAAGTTCACGAAGATAAGGCTCCTGTTCGATGTACACGCCGAACGAAGGGTTATCTAACACCCGAGCCTTGAACGCACTCCGAGAGAGACTCGCCATCGCGCATATAGTCCCATATATAGCGATATCACTGGGACTGACGAGCCTCCCAATCCATTCACCGAGATCCTTCGTCGACCCCAGCCGCAGGAGGTTGTACGACGCCTTTTCGTAGTTATCCTGTCCCAGATACGACAAGGCAGTGGCCAAGTCGAGTTTTGACTGCACTCTGTCCCGTTCGGGAGAGGACTTCTTCGCGCCGGTTGAAACCATCGGTGTAGGGGCGTCTTTATTGGCAGAAGCAGAGGCCGCGGCCGTGGCTGCGTCCAAAGCGGCTTCAGCCTTGAAGACGTAGGTAGGCAGGGTGTCCGTAGTTTCTTTGTTCGATGAGAAGCTCGAGGACGGAAAGGCACATATCAAGGACGTGTTGGCTGGTGGTGCAGTATTCTCGGGATTTTGTGTAATGCTTCAGCGACGTGGCGTACTCTCCGATGACTCGATAAAAGTCGCCCAGGTCGCGATGTGCCATCTGCCCTGCCGTTAGAAATCGTCAAGTCGACAGTCGAATACTACGCACCCGAATGCTCTCCTTGATCATGTTATTCGAGTATGTTTTCAGCTCCATCTCCAGCTTCAATCGATCCGACTGGTTCCTAGCAAGGGTCTCGTCTATCCATCGCGCGCTAAGCGTAGAAAATTCAGATATCGGTGGCAGGGATCCATTGGCATTCGCATGAGCCTGCTCGTACGCCGTTACGAGGCCTTGGTACTGCGACGGGTCGCGCGATTGGTGAATATGCTGGATGGCTAGGTGGAAAGCCTCAACGGCAATCGTTGGGCACAGTTGAATTATGTGAGTCAGGCGGTCCACGGCAGTACGCCCGGAGTAATTGGATATGTAGCTCTCAAGGTCAAAGGGGTGCACGTCGTCCACCGGGACGGTAAACGAACGTTTCGGCTGCGAAGTGCTGGCCTGCGTATTCTCTTCAGGTGCATCGATATCCATGTCGCTGAATGTCCAGGCCTGCAGGCAATTTGTCGGAAGGGATGGTGGTAATTGACTGAGACTGGAATTGTAGTTTACTTTAACGTAAGCAAGCAGTATGTCTTTATTTGATAGCTAATAACTCAAGTCAATTGGAGAGCAAGGGCACTTGGCACAGTTGGTAGCGCGCACGCTTCGCATCGAGTTTGCGTGAGGTCGTGGGTTCAATTCCCACAGTGTCCATATAGTTGGAAACAGCTTTTCATTTTTCTGCTCATGAGTCTTAGTCTCTCAGACTCACGGGTGGCGGTTGCGCGCTAGGGCTGCGCACGAAACCTCTGGGGGGTGTAAAATACGGTTTTATACCGACCCCCCTTGGAGAGGGGTGTTTTGATACGGTAATTTACCGTTACTTACCCTATCACGTGCATAATCACATGCCTGACGCGCGTCATTTGCAAAAATTTCGCAGCATCTTCATCTTCGTATTCTTTTACACATTTTTCTTTCTCCTGAAGTGTGATTCATTGAAAGTTACTAAAGAGATATGTTTTAAGCTGTAAATAAAATATAACTACACTAGGATTGAATATAGTGGTAATATTTATTGATGCTGAAATGTCATCACATGACAGGTAAGTTACCTCGACGAAAACCCCTCCAGCGGGGGGAGGTAAATTACCAGTAACTAACCGGTAACTTACCGGTCCGAAACCCTAGTGTATCAAAACCTAGGGTTTCGTGCGCAACCCTATTGCGCGCACTGCGGGAATTTCGAATCTCTTGTGCTGTCTCCAGTGAGGTTGTAAGCTGGATTTTAGCCGCGCTACCTTGTTTTTGATGCGCGTTCCTTACGTGCAGTTTCCATCCTTCGTTTTCATATATTTCTTTTTGATCTCATAAACTGCCATTCACCTATCATATAGTTATACTGTGATTTTAGAATACACATGCAGTAATAGTAAATTATTACTTATGCTGAACTGGCAGCCCCATGATGGCCGGCAAAATTCCTCCCGCTGCCCTGCCCTGCCCTCCTCCCGGGAGGGGAGGTGACTTGCCGGGACTTACCGCTCCGCCCTGGCATATCAGAACCAGGGTTCCGTGCCCAAGCCTATTTCAGGCTTGAAGTTTGGTCTTGGAATCAAGGAACAGTCATGGAAGTTGGGACAAGGACCGGAACGTATATCAATAATTAAACACAAATCAAACTTTGAACAGTGTTGAATGAACCTTTGACAGTGCTGTTAGTCGAATCTGTGAATCAGGACGATTTACCCAGGCCCGATGATTTCAACGCGCTCAAAACCCTGTGATTAGATCCGAGCAAGATATTCACGGCGGCGGCATATCATTTCCGCACACAGAAGGTAAACAGATAGCCCGAACTGAGGGAGGTACGCAAGGAGCTCCGAAAAGATGGAAAAAAGAAAATCACGATGAGCAACCTATCTTGATAGGGAAGGAAAGCAGTATATAACAGGAATGGACTCGACCTAGCAGAACTAATCAGGGCCTCGCGTGATGTTACCCTCATCGTTCATCTGAACATCCGAATCGTCGTCTTCTTCTTCTTCGATAGTCACCGCTTGGCGGCCATACGTGATCCCTAGCACAATCTGCCTCTCCGTAACAATGCCAACACCTGGCATACCGTGAGCCCAACCGAAGCATGTCGGATCAAGACTCCAGACGGGCTTCATTTTCTTCAGAAGAGTGGCGGACGCCGGTGACTTGTATGGGTAATCATTGAGTATTCCACTCGGGGAGAGAATCCTGGAATATTTGTGGTGTTCATTTGCGTTGATGTCCTTGTAGACGGAGGGTGAACAGCCAGAGATATTTATCGTATATCGAGGATGATCCTTCCTGTCGGACGGTTGTTGAAGATTCGTTTCAGTGTCCAATGGTGTCTCAGTCTCACTTGAGGGAGTGAGTGGTGTCGTGGGTGACCCTTCGGAAGACGACGGTACCAACGCACTTCGGGTCCCAGCAAGATGCATCGAGATGACGACGTAAGGCACGTCAACCTCCGTATCCTCGTCCAGCCAGAATCCAAGCTCTTCCGCACTGATAGTATCTTCCCATGCACAGAAACTCGGCTCTTCCTTGACCGAAATCATTATACCCGAACTTTGGAACTGGTCGAGTGGGAGCCGGTCGACATCAAAATCTGGACCAGTAGCCACGTCTTTGGGAACGATGAGAAGAGGAACGAAGATATCGATGCCGGAATGTCCAAAGGAGCATTGATAAGCCATGCCACGAATGAACGCTGCGATCCCAGAGCCAGAATTGATAACATCAGAAGATCCGGCACGTCCAAAATGGGTGAAGTGCACATATGCGAACTCGAACGCCTCAGCGAAAGTTGGTCCTCCAACGCGATTATCAGGCATGCTCTGAAAAAGCTTGGGTAGATGCTCTTCTGGGAGAAGGGCAGTCAAAAAGTCGATTAGGGGGATAGGTCTCGAATAAACAGCCTGATTATCTTGGTGAGAGACTGGCATCGGAGGATGTTTCTTGTCCAGGAGCAGTCGATGGATTGCCGCATCCCAAGCCTTAGTAAGGATAAGCCTCGCAACCAGTTGGCCCTGTTCACTATCATCGAGGAGATCGTCTTTGATAAGGCAGCGAACGACCTCCACCACATCGACTTGCTCTTCATAGATTGAAATGGCAGCCGCTTCCGCCAGGATCGCCTCAGAAGGATATCCAGATGTCGTATACTCTCTATTGGCAGGAGAAGAGAACACCATCCGCATGTGTGCTCTCACCATCTCCTTTTGCAGCCAGCGAGACTCCTCCCGACGAGGGTCATATTCGATCATAACCCTGATATCCACCAGAGCCACCATGAACACATCCGGCGTTCTACACAGTCTGGTCCCAGACATCACAGTCGCAGGCTCACCCAAATGGATCCCAAATTTGGCAGTTTCTGCGCAATCCCGATGCGTCAACTTGGTCCGAGCCAAAAATATGATCCACTGTGCCCGGGCGCTGGCAGCCAGCATCGTATGCCACCTAAAACATTAATATGAATTCAGTGCAATAGAGGCTAGGAAAACGTAAAACCTACATCGGCCGTCCAAAGCGACCAAGATGCTGGATGCTCCGTATGCGTTCAAATGTCAGTTCGGGATCGTGGTATTCGATATTCGCACAGACATCAAAAGGGAGAACGGTGAAGGGCGCAGGC